CTCAGCTTTAGCCCTGCTGTATAGACACACCCTCGCAGTCTAACAGAAAAGGTATTTTTCTCAAAATTCATTCTTTAGCAAGAATTAGTAGTAATCAATAGGAAAATCATATAGACAGTTCTACAAAAGCTAACTGGACTGTGATTTGTGCTTGTACGTGTTTGGATCCGAAGGCACATCTCCTGCTCCTGTAGCTTCTTGCTCATGACTGGAGAGGCTTCTTTATATACATTACCAATGACTTTCATTTGCCTGAAAAGTTGGGGGCCTGATTCAGATCTCCTCACACCACAGTAATTCAGGAGTAACTTCAAACAAGTGAAAAAAGTTACATTTTTTAAAGAAGCTGTGAATAAAGAGGCTCTTTTTCCAGCTACCATGTAATAAATGGGGAATGCTATCAGAATCCTCCTTTTGCATACTCAGGGTTAAATCATTAATAGACTTCTAATATTTTTCAAGCATGCGGCTCAACATTATTTAACCGATACATGTGATTGATCAATGAATAAATTGGATTTGGAAAATTGGGAGAGCAGCTGATAAAGTGGGATACATTAAGGCAATAAGAGAGACTGGACTGTAACATTTATAATCTAATTAACAGATCATGATTACTTAACTTCTGAGTGACAGTGGATTAATACAGAAGGGAATTGTATTGTACATAGTAACAGCCTAAACTTCTAACAGACCTTGTCCTGAGATCAAATCATTTACCCTGGCCTCCCAATATGACTTGTTTTGGGGTGGTATGATATTTTAAAGGACAGGAAGACACTCTTGCTTTCAAAAATGGGTGACTGAGCGCTAAGCACCAGCTAGAATTCAAACAAGGCAGCCTGTAGGGAGAGATTGCAATTTGTTGGGAAATGAATTGTTGGAATTCACGTCCCTTTCAGTCTAACATATCAAAGTAGCACTAGGGTAGTGGTAAAGGAGAAAGCAGTTGGTTTCCTTGATTCTATAGATGTGGGGAAAAAAGAACCTGCTCTTAATTTCAGGGATTCTCTTACTCAAAATTATCCAAGTCCCTTGACAGATGGGAGTACTGTGGGGCTCTTGTTAGCCCCAGAGTGAATTGCCCTGCTGGGAAGTTGTCCTTTGTTCATGATGTCATGGTCAAATGGAACCAGAAATAAGAAACACTAGAAGATTGTGAACTTTCTGAAACATAATTATATGTGTATCAAGTACTTTTGGGATTCCAGGTTTTCATCTCCCCTGACCTTTGCTACTGAGTTAATGAAAGAGCTAGGTGAATCCACTTTAAGCATAAATCTAAAACTACCCATGAAATCCAGTCTTCATTATATCCAACCGCTTGGTTGGTTTGGCAGTTCCCACCAAGTATATAGAATATAATTTTGTGATACAAACTGAGTTCATAGAGTCTGGCAGTTACAATTATACAGAAAAATATTATGAAATGCAATACTAGGACTGATAAACATAAAGGAAATTCTCTGGGAAGAGGAATTCTGATTTGAAGCTGACAAAACTCCTCTAGTTCCCAGCATAGCCACAACGGGCATTAGTATATGGTGCCCTGAGTCAAGTTTTTATATTTGTGAAATTGTGCTGGATGCCAGCAAACAGACACTAAAGAGCTGAGGTTGAAACCAATAAAATTCCAAACTTTCTCTTTTAGAGGGTTTAAATCAAACAATATTAGAGGAGTGTCAGATTTCCTAGGCAGAAGGGGTAGAGAATATCAAATTTGCAGTGCTGTATTTTGTCTTAGCAGAGCGATGGGTTTCTATAACCACGAAGCAGAATTCATTTGACATTGCTGGAGTATCCATTGTTTCCCCTTTGGTAGGGCTCTGCAATTTTCAGAAAGGGTTTGATTTACTAGAGATCAAACAAAAGATGAATTTCCTTTTTATGTCCTTCATTTCTCATATTTCTAGCAAAAAGCAGAGCTGACAATATTTAGTTGTCATTTGAACAGATATTACTGTCAATTCCATAAATTCCTGAAAAAACGTCAATCCCTTTGTGTATGTGCTTAAAGGCTACCTACTGATTCTTCAGATGGTATAGAATAATCCTACACAACAATTTCCTAGATGTGTATTTAAATCAATAGATACAGGATCTTTGCATTTTTAGCATAACAAAGAAAAGAAAAGGTTTTGGCGATATGTTAACCACTGGTATTCATCTTGGAGAAGACACAAGGCCATTCATTTCAGAGATTTAAAGTACTGAAAAACCACCATCCAGGCAGTGCATCCTTTTGTTCTTTTCGTCAGCAGATCCTAAAGCACATAAGATTAGATGTCTATCAGTAGAAGAAAAACAGAGCTGAGTTCCTTTGTTATATGTATTGCAGGTTAGGGTTTGCTTTGCCCGCATTCATTGCTTAGGGTCTCTCAAGTGACATTAGAGTCTCCTTCTGCGTTGTTTAATGTAGATCATCATTTCTAGAATATATAGATCCTTGTTGGGAAACGGCTAATTTCATGTTCTCCCTCCCGCCCCCTAGTTTGCCTTTATTGTACGATGGGCAGTGAGGAATTAACATGTGACACAATATCAGAAAAAGTTACTTAAGTCTAGGTTGGTGCCTTTTCCAGGAAACATTTGTCTGAAGTTTTTTGTTTTGCTTTTTAAGTTGTCAAGTGTTCTGTTTCTCTGTAGATTACCATGGGAAACTAGGTTTATAATGTACTACTTTTTTAAATTAGTGCACAAGTAAAGACAGGATCCCGAAAGAAGGGAAATGTATATTTTGTGATTCCATCTAAAATGTTTGTTTGAAGGGGCTTAAATTAGAAAGTTTAAAAAAAGTTAGAAAAAAAATCTAAACTGACAAGTTCTGAAGAAAGCTTAGCTTCTGTTCAACTCTGGGGCTACCTCTAGACTACAAGCCTCTTTCGAAAGAGAGCGTCTAGACTGCAACCACTTCTTTTGAAAAAGCGAGCCGCTTTTTCGAAAGAGCACGCAGGCAATCTGGATGCTCCCTTTCGAAAAAAGCTCTGTTTGCATTCAAGAACGCCTTTTTTTGAAAAAAGGTGTTCTTCCTCTTAAAATGAGGTTTACCGCGGTCGAAAAAACCGCCGTGTTCTTTCCATTTAATTTCGAAAGAACTCGGGGGCAATCTAGACGCAGGGGAAGGTGTTTTTTGTTTTTGTTTTTTTAAAACGGACACTTTTTTCTGTAGTCTAGACATGCTCTGCATGTACAATGAAAAAGTGGCTAAGACCGGTCTTCAATGAATGACACTGCATCATTTACTGGATTCAGCCATAATGGTAAATCCGGGAAGAATGGAGTAAAAGAACTTTGAAAAAAAATTGCTGAGATGAAACTTTTTCTTGTGGTTAAATAAGCAGCCAGTTGGAATGGAGACGGTGTTTTCTTAGTGTGGCACAACAGTTGGAAAAATTGTTGGATTATTTTTGGCAGTAGCATGTATATTATAACTATCATTAGTGTTGCTAAAGTGACAGGCTACATGGAAAGGGTTTCTATTTTACTAATACAGTCTTACCAAAATATAGTGTGCTCAGTTCTACGGCACGAAGAGTTTGTTTTCAGGGTTTGATGTAACTTGTCATGTAATTGTAACTTGACTTATTCTGAAATGTTCTCTATAGAACTCCATACTATAGACTATGGATCGTCATCTACAGACAGTACTGAATTTGGACAGAGCCCCTAACATCCTATCCAAGTGATGCAAGGTCCGTGCTATGCCAAATCAAAAAGCTCCAGCAGACCATGATGCTGTCCTACCTGCTCCCAGGTTTAGTTAGTGCAGGCCCCTGTTAAAATGCTTTGGGAAATGTCAGTTAAACTATTAAAAGCAATAAGTTTGCCTTTACTGTCACCAAAATCCCACAGCTTCACTTCCTGATGTGCAGTTCCCATGAATGAGAATTTGGGATTCTGCAGGTGCAGCCAAAAGCACAGTTTGAGCCTAGGAATTTGTCCTATGACATTTCAGTTTCAAAATAACCTCATTAAAAAAATTCTAATGCTTCTTTTGTGCCCTGGTGCCAGGCAAATAATCCTCCCACGGGATAGGCTCACGCTGGCGGGGCTCCAGTCTGCCACCTTTACTCATCACACGGACACCGAATGGACAGCTTACAAAGCACGGACATACTTAGTCTGAGGGAGGTTGGCACAATTAGCCACCTAGAATGTTAAACAGGCCAAAATTTACTTTCCATTGGCTTCAGTTGCATTCATGTGCTTAAAGTGGGGATGTGAAAACTCATAAAGAACAGTAATCGTGTAACCAATTAAAATTAAATGGGTTACATGGTTAAACAAGGCCAGCGGGCTGGCAGCCTTGCAGGCTGCCTGCAAAGGTGCCGTTTTGGGAGTGCAGGGAGGCAGCAGCCATGAGGACTAGAACGTGGCTTGCTGTCCTTCCCGCTGCCCTCTCAGGGAGCAAGGGGAAAGTAGTTGGATTCCGTGATTTACTCCTCTGCCTCCTGCCGTCAGGCAGGCACGGCATCCACGTGCTTTCCCCTTGCCTCCGGATAGCCCAGGCAACAGGAAGAACAGCAAGCCATGTCCTGGGATGCATGGCTGCTGCCTTCCCTGCTCTCCCGAAATGGCACCCTTGGCTGCCTAGCACTGCCATCCTCGCTGGCTCCGCAGCCTCCTGGCATCACGGCTTTGTGGGCAGCCAGCTGCACCGGAGTTTGACCGTTAATCAGAACCGATAAGCATCGGTATATCGGTTCACCAGTTAAACTTTTACATCCCCTGCTTAAAGCGAAGCGTGTGCTTTCATGCTTTGCTGTTCTTCAAGGCCAGTGCCCAGAGTGTCAGAGACTGCTGTGCTGCAGAGAACTCCTATACTGTGAAACCAATGCAAAAAAAAAAAGGGGGGGGGGGGATCATTCAAAGAGCCATGTAAGCGAGCTTCCAGCTGGATGCTTGCCAGGCCTGTCCCCAGCCTCTTCTAACAACAAGGAAAACTTATTTGAAAGCTTATTTTCTGAATTATTATTGAAATGGATACTTTTCTTCTCTAGCAGAACCCAGAGTAGGCTGCACCGAGACTCTTAGCTGTGCAGTCACACTGGCCTGCCTGATGGCATGCTGCATCCAATTTCAGCTCAGCGTCTGGAGGCAATAGAGACCTTGCCTGGGAGCAGCTTTCCGTTCAGTACACCCAGAGGTAAGCACAGTAGGAACCTGACCACATCTATGTACACCAGCCCCCTGTACCAGCTGCACCAGAGGAGAGGTAACAGAATAAACAAGTCATGCACTTGGCCAACTGCAGAGCAAGGTGTGAAAATAGCAGATCTTTTTTTGCTCAAAGAGTGATCAGTTTATATTCTGAAGTTGGAAGAGCAACAGACTGTATCATTTTACTTTTGCCTGTTTACTTGCACTTAGTATTCTTATTTGGTAAGCACCAAATTTGTTACGGCTGTTAGTGATTTCCCCCAATAATATCCTGTAGCAGGGAACTCCCAGGTTAACTCAACAGATCCCTACACATTTTGATTAGTTGTCTTTCAATTTCATTGAGCCCTCCCACCTTCTTCTAGCAGCTTACATCATTTATGAGACATGTTTACTGATTGCTGTATTCTAATGATGGTTCAGCCTTTCTGAAGTCACATCTGTTTGTGAGGACCCACATGGCTACATATGCAAAGAAATGTCCCTGAATTTCATGCCTACAAGAGGCAACTCCTTCCCTCTCTGAAGTTCAGATACACTGTAAACATTTTCAAAGAGCAGCACCTAGGCATCAAGTACGTACTAAGCGTGTGAATGGAAGAACAGCAGCAGACCTTGTGGAATGGCCATTTCTGTAAGCAAATCCATTTTCCACACACTTCAAGCCCTGCCTGGGCTTTACATTTATTTTGCACATTCAAGAAATTGCAGGTGAAGTGCACATTGCTTTCATCCTTCAGCTTCCATGTCCCGTAAGCAGATAGAAAATATCCAGGTTTGAAAATGCTTTCTCAGGGTTAACATATAACTACTAAAACCGCCCAAACAAACAGCTTTGTTCTGTGACTCCTACCTCACACCGTGCTGCCTGCTGGTGAAGAGAGTTATGGAGCAGTTGTAAAGCTGGGAGGGAGAGGGCTGCGGAGATGGTTTCAATTTAGTGGTAGTAGGTTTAAAGCACACAGTACAATGATGTTAGTAACTGTGTAATCAAAGGAAAAGGGCTTGAGGAAGACAGATAAAGGAGTTTTTAAATGTTGCTGCATTTAGACTAGTGAATTCTGCATCACGCAAAAGCAGAACACAGCCTTTTATTGGCCTCACTAAGCTCTATTTCCTATAGAAGGAAAGTATAAACAAAGGGCCTATATGTAAATACGTTTCGTTGAGGCTGCTGAGGGGGTGTTTAAACTACGTCTGGATTTCGTTCTGCAGACCTTTTTCAATAACAACTCTATTGAAAAAAGAAAATTCGTTAGCGATGTTGTGAGCCATCTGATTTTAATTTGGAGCTGGAGAACTGGAGGTTACTCGTAGACTCACATGGCTACAGTTCTACTCCCACCTCCAGATTCTGTTTCCTTGCCCAGACGGTGCCTGTATCTCACAAACGGAATGTAGGAAGAAGGCAGCCTCAATTCTGCTCCGAGTCTAAATGAGGGCACATGTTCATTGCAGCAAGACCTGCCTCTCTCCAACATTCAATCGCCACTTAATCCAGGTTGCTCAATGCACTGAGAAATGCTAAAGTAGCTTTTGGTCTCTCTAGCTCCTCTTATTGCAGGGACTTTAGCATCATTACTGCTTCAGTAACTCCTTCCATTTGGCATCTTTGGCTCACTTCTTATGTCCCTCAGATCACCCAGGCCTACAGAGGCCCAGCTGGTCAGGTCTCGCCAGCTCTTACCTCAGACATCAGTTTTCTTATAGACTCGAGTTGTCCATGAGAACTAGTAGCATGAAATATTAACTAGTATTCTAGTAATCCTCTCCATTTTTGACTAGTGAAGGCTGAGAAGAAAGAGTGGGAAGCTTTAGTAACAAGTGACCCATGCCCAAAAAATATTAAAACAGTATGGGAAATCAGAGCTCAACTGCAGAGTTTGAATTTTCCCCTGTGAAACTGTTTGTCCAGTCAGCTTGTGCCTGCCAGCCATGCAGAGAAATCCAGGGCCAGCTGAAACATGTCAGGCCAAAGAAGCCACTGAGGGGAGCAGTCTGGCTTGACAGTTTTTTTCTGTTTATACCCAGTCTGTACTTATTAGTGCTTCACAAGGGAAACTGAATGTCTGCCCTTAAGTGCATTTTCAGCTTATGTTTGGACTGTCTCTCTTATTCATAGGATGTCTAGTACTGATTCATTACCTAACACTTGTCTGGATTCCCTAATGCAGCTTTCACTGTCACCGAACTTGTGGTATAATGTTATTCTTGGAGAATCTTTAGAAACTGATTTTACATTTTTCAACACCCAAGCAGATGTACAAATTCTCTAGGGATGCAATAGTGGAGTCGATTAACTGACAAGCAGAAGCTTATCGGTTAATGTTATAGATTATGTGCATTTCCCCCCACCCTTTGCCAGTACATTTTTTAGCAGGCTGGCCAGCAGCCCAGCTCACACTGGGTCCTGGACTTACCCCAGTGTGGCTCTGCATTTAAAGTGTATTAGGAGCCGTGCGGGCAGGCAGCCAGCTCAGTTCCAACTCACGCCGGGTCTGGGAGCACAGACCCCTTCATCCCAGACAGGGGCTGCCCGAGGACTATAAAATAGTCGAGTAACCGATAAGAATTCATGGAGGTTAATTGACTATTCAATTAACCGATATTTAACATCCCTAGTATTCTCCAGGTTGCAGAGCAACAAACTTGTTTCTCTAGGCGTTGTCTGTGGAACCTGTACTTGCTCCTGGTTTTCAGAACAAAGGAGGGCATTTCTCTACCCATAAATCCCAGGTCTGTAGCCACAGTGGCTCCCAAGCAGCAGTAGCTATTGTCAAGGAGCCTGAGAAAAATATCAAAGGAGATTTCTACTCCAGAGAACACCCTAAGTCTCCACATTAATAACCCCAAACAGGTGCTTCATATACAATGTTCTGATAACAAATATGAAAGGAATTCATTATAATCCAGCCATTATTTCCTTGTATTCCTACTTTATTAAGCACATTAATGCTGTTTGAAAGTTTTTCTAGAAGAACATCTGGGACCCACATGAATAGCTGATGAGAGCTGCATGATCTGCACTGCAATGCTGAATAGCCAGCAAATTCACCAGCATTAGCAGCATTAGAGCAGTAAATACCCATCCAGGTCCGAGTGGGCCTCTCTCAAGCAGCACAAGTGCTTTCAGGTGCATGTCACTCGTAGTAACCCTCAGTTTCTGTTTCATTCTAGGTGCATAGCGTAATGTCCATGCTGTACTACACTCTGATTGTAGCTTTTTTGCTCGGCATACAGGCAGCACCAAAGTCAGAGAATAATGCTCCAGGGGGGTTTCCTGCAGGACCCACCATTCCAAATATCCACCGGACTAAAGCCAATCACATTGCCAAGGCGGCTGCACACACAGGAAACCACAGCCTCGTTGAGAAGGCGGACGACGGAGACTCAGGCCAAGCGGCCAACATCACGGTGGATCCAAAGCTTTTCAGGAAGAGACGATTCCGGTCCCCTCGGGTTCTGTTCAGCACACAGCCCCCGCCACTGGTAGGGGACGGCCAGGACATGGAGTATCTGGGAAGTGGAGATTCTCTTAACAGGACTGTCCGAACCAAGCGGACGGCTCATCCCGTGCTGCACCGCGGAGAATTCTCAGTCTGTGACAGTGTCAGCAAGTGGGTTGGGGACAAAACCACAGCAACAGACATCAAAGGCAAAGAGGTGACGGTGCTGGGAGAGGTGAACATTAACAACAATGTCTTCAAGCAGTACTTCTTCGAAACCATGTGCAGGGAACCTAAGCCTGTTTCCAGTGGGTGCCGGGGGATTGATGCTAAGCACTGGAATTCCTACTGCACCACCACGCACACCTTTGTCAAAGCACTGACAATGGAAGGCAAGCAAGCAGCCTGGAGATTTATCCGAATTAATACTGCCTGCGTGTGCGTGCTCAGCCGGAAAACCGTGAGACCCTGAGATGGAACAAACCATCGCACCCACATGCTCCCCTCCCCCCTACCTCAGCCTGTAAATTATTTTAAGTTATAAGGACTGCGTGGTATATTTATAGTTTATACAGTAAAGAACGAACCTCGCTATTTATTAAACTTTTGGAAACTCGTTTTGTGTGATGCATTTAATTTAACGATGTAACACTCCTTTGGGGACTATTCAATTACTGCCTTGTGAGCCACACAGCGTGGCCACTGAGCGCACTGTTCTGTGAAAAAAAACATTTTGCACTTTCCTTCCACCCTCCCTCCCCCAAGCCAATTTTCACAAGCAAACCTGCCCTTTTCGTGGGAAAATCTATGGCTTGTTCCAGAAGGTTATGTTCTTTTCCAACTCATGAAAGTATAAAAAAAAAAAAACACTAGAAAAATATAGCTGGGTTTACTCCCATTCTACTAGTCTCCAAGGGGTAAGCTGTGTTAGTCTGTAACTTAAAATGTTTTTAAAAAACCAAAACAATCAGTGGTCCTGTATATTTTTGTTAGGCTCTAAAGTGCTACAGGCCCACTTGTTTTTTTCCAGTTTTGTCCCCATTCTACTCGTCTGTCATTAGGATTCTGAGAACTGTTGGTGCAACATACAGTGATTTTTATACCACTCTGGGCATTATGATGTAAATGCTCAGTGTGTCTGAGAAAGTTACCAAACATTTTGATGATGAAAATAGCCATCTCTAAGTCATGTTAGACAAAAGAAGGCTATGACGTGGACCAAGATGAAGATTTTTGTTTGAGAACAATATCATTTATGAGTTGTACTAGAGAGTGATGGCACTAATGGTGTTTTACATCAGAAATCTCTAGTTCTAGGGTTGTGTAAGTTAACTATAGACGGTGGCTTGAAGCTGGGTGACAGTGCCTTAATGTGGGAGTGAACGTCTTAAAACAGTTAGAGCAAGATCTTTTGGTCATATTTCACTAAGAACAGTCCAAAAATAACCCTCCTGTTTATGGTTTCTGTGCTCCCGGTCCCTTGGGAGCACTATGGTTTCTAGACCTGGTGTAGCTGCCAGCCTGAAGCCTGTAATGTGTCTCCCAGCCATTGCGTACTGAACAAAAACTTCACAACGTCCCATTGTTTCCTCTGGAAAAGTAGCAGCTATCCCCCTCAGCACACGGTTTCAAAACAAGCATCCCAAGGGGTTGTAGTTTGGGGTCTCCCAAACCCTAAACCAGGGCTACTCCACATGCGGCCTGCAGCCTCTCTGTGGCCTGTGCTGCAGTTTGAGTTTACGTGGAGCTTAACACAGCCCAAGGGTGGGAGCCAAAACAAAAAAGTAGTCAACGTAATGGTCTTCTATTGCTATGCAGTTTAGCAGTTACATTCCTGGACTGGCATTGCTCATTACAAGTGCTGTCGTACGAGTGGAAATCAGGTAACTATTGCATTTTATTACTATCGGCAGAACTGACTTACATGGGGCCTGTGTGTTGTGTCGTCTTGCCTTAATCTTTGCATTCATGCCTGTCAGTGTGAAAGAAGCTATTTGCATAGATATTTGCATGTACATACAACCACTCTTAAGTTGCAGCCCTCAGCACATGCTGTGAGCATCATTGTGGCCCCCGGGGTTTACAAAGTTGAGTAGCCCTGCTCTAAGCTCTAGGGAGACAAACCCTAAAGATCCCATCTCCCAGTTTTCACCTCCTCCTCCTCTCAAATACTATTATTTTCTCTAAAAAATATCCATCATCCCTACTTGGCCTATACAAAGAGCAAAGCGGGGCAGCAGTGTGTGATTTCTTGGACTAAGTCTTGCCTTTAACTCTTTTTTTAAACAATTCTTCACTTCCAGAGACATTGGTCTTTGCATAGACGGCTGTACGATGGCTGAAACCAGCCCCAAACCCATCCGGATTCATTTTCTTTTCACTAAGCAAGAAACAACTTAAACTAAGCAAAATGTTCTTTGTATTAAAATAATGCCAGTTGGGCTGGCATCAGGAGGCAAGTACCACACATTTTGACAGCCAAGTATCCTGTCCTATCATTCTGAGCCGCCGCTGGGCTAGTTTATCACACTCAAGCAGAAGCACGGGTGAGAGTAACTCACATGTTTCACCGGTACTGTCCTATCCCACACATCTCCATTGCGGAGCCAGGACAGGGAGTGGGGTTGCAATAGGACAGAGCCTGTACGAAATTCCAGCCCAGGCTGGAGTGCGAGGGCTCAGGGCATGGGGTTGGAGTGTGAGGGAGCTCAGAGCAGGGGCTTTGGAGGGTGCAGGAGTCCTAGGAAGGGTGGGGTAATCAGAGCAGGAGTGTTGGGGTGGCAGGCTCAGGGCAGGAGCTGGGGTGACAAGCTCGAGGCTCAGAGTGTGGCCACTGTGCCATCCAGCCACTGGATCCCTGGGTCTAGACAAGGCATCAGTGTCTGTGCTATCCAGATGCCTGAGCACCGGGGCTAACTGCAATGGCGAGGATGCGTTGCCCAGCCACTGCATCCCCAGAGCATTGGGGACCGCGCTGACCAGCCACCAAATCCCATAGGTGACCAGAGTCCAGGGGACTGCAGCGCTGCCAGGACCCCAGAGGTAGCCAGAGCATCGGGGACCATGCTGCCAAGCCACCAGGTCCCTGGGGCTGGCCGAAGTGATGGGGACCATGCTGCCAAGCCACCAGGTCCCTGGGGCTGGCCGAAGTGATGGGGACCATGCTGCCAAGCCACCAGGTCCCTGGGGCTGGCCGAAGTGATGGGGACCATGCTGCCAAGCCACCAGGTCCCTGGGGCTGGCCGAAGTGATGGGGACCATGCTGCCAAGCCACCAGGTCCCTGGGGCTGGCCGAAGTGATGGGGACCATGCTGCCAAGCCACCAGGTCCCTGGGGCTGGCCGAAGTGATGGGGACCATGCTGCCAAGCCACCAGGTCCCTGGGGCTGGCCGAAGTGATGGGGACCATGCTGCCAAGCCACCAGGTCCCTGGGGCTGGCCGAAGTGATGGGGACCATGCTGCCAAGCCACCAGGTCCCTGGGGCTGGCCGAAGTGATGGGGACCATGCTGCCAAGCCACCAGGTCCCTGGGGCTGGCCGAAGTGATGGGGACCATGCTGCCAAGCCACCAGGTCCCTGGGGCTGGCCGAAGTGATGGGGACCATGCTGCCAAGCCACCAGGTCCCTGGGGCTGGCCGAAGTGATGGGGACCATGCTGCCAAGCCACCAGGTCCCTGGGGCTGGCCGAAGTGATGGGGACCATGCTGCCAAGCCACCAGGTCCCTGGGGCTGGCCGAAGTGATGGGGACCATGCTGCCAAGCCACCAGGTCCCTGGGGCTGGCCGAAGTGATGGGGACCATGCTGCCAAGCCACCAGGTCCCTGGGGCTGGCCGAAGTGATGGGGACCATGCTGCCAAGCCACCAGGTCCCTGGGGCTGGCCGAAGTGATGGGGACCATGCTGCCAAGCCACCAGGTCCCTGGGGCTGGCCGAAGTGATGGGGACCATGCTGCCAAGCCACCCGAGTGCCGGGGCTGGAGTGTGTGTGCCCTGAGGCCATGCAGCATTCAGGTGGCCAGTCTCTTACTGGTATGCTGCACCGCCGTGCACCAGCTCACTTTCACCTTTGAGCAGGAGTGGGTTCAGGCTTGAGAAGAGCAGCCACGTGCTGCTCACCAGTTCCCTCTGCAGAGGCTGGTCGTAGTGCAGAAGAGGCACCGGAATAACACTGGCCCTTTCAACAGCCAAGTGGATGCAGAGTTTGCATGTACAGCCACTAAGTGGAAGGGTGGTGGAGGGTAGAGTCACATGGTCCTCACACAAACCCATCCAAAACCTCCAAAATCATCAATTCTTGCCCATGGGGGATGGATGTGCATTCCTGGTGTGATGGAAAATGATGCAGCCCCTGGATAGGCTATTAACAGTGGCAGCCTCCCACAGATCAGCTTGGGAATCATGGTATCAGATGCCACCTGCAGATCAGTGACGCAAACAAATAGCCAAAGTTGGAGCTAAATCCTGCGTATGCATTTTGATTGCAACCTTGCATGTAGAGGGGCCCCAGAGCAATGAATGGGGTTACATCTTGTGTGTCCTCGCCAGATCTTCTGCCTTGCCTGAGAGCAATGAAGTTAGGAAAGAATAAAGTCTTGGCTTGGCTTTTCCTGCTTTATCAAGACTCTGCCATTATTTTACCACTGATGCAACAAAGCTGCGGCTCACATGTTGTCTCAAGACTGTAGTTAACAATCTGAAACGCATGAGAGACCAGGAGTCTCCTCACAGAGCTGTGGGACTCTTGTCATGGGTTTCCTTCGGCTTGTAGTGGGAATCTGGGGAGCTGCCATTCTTTTCACATGCCAACCAGCAGGCCCGTCCTTCGACTGTGCGGGGCCCTATGCAGTACTGCTGTACTGTTACCCCTGCCTGACTGTACCTGGGCAAGCGGATGATTTTGCAAGAGAGGATTATATAATCTTCAGTAACACACTAATACTTTTAATGCAAATTTTAAATAAGATCCCGTAGCTATCAGTAAATTCAGAATTTGATTGTATATAGCTCTTAATTGGCTTCATTACCACATGAATGACACTTTCACAGGTTCAATAGGCTTGCTAGGCTATTTCACTTGTAAGTTAACTAGCTCATCTCCAGAAGACAACTCACCAGCTGCAGGAGCCAGAGAACAGGGCTAGGAAGCCGTGGGCATTAAGACCCAGAGGTGCCCCAAATTTTTGGGTGCCCTCGAAGCTGCATTTAAGGAGTAACCCTAAGTTACTGCTTAAAACTAATTGTTGTTAAGGACAAGAGCAGGCCCAACAAAGCTCAGTCAAGGGAGGGGCCTATAGCTGCTGATAAAATAACCATCAGTCGTTATTATAAATCACGACTTGGATTACAATTTCCACTAGTAAAGTGCTCAGTTATTCATTGTGGTTTTGCATATTTCAGTGAGCGTGCTGATCTATTGCACCCAGCCATTGCCTCACAGAGGGATTCGAATGATGCTCAGTGCTCCCACCACTGAGATTAGAATGCTGCTTCATCATTTCCTGCAGCAACTTGGCCAAGCGACTGTGCTGCCTGCTGATGTCTCAGCCTTATCAGAAAATTCTCAGAGGGAATTCACGCACCTGGATCCTGACACTGGTATTTAGATTTTCATACTTAGCAGAGATCGCTAAGAACACCAGCCTGGACACACAGACCTGCGGGGGTTACACATCCCTTTCCTCATGGCCCTGCCATTTATCATACGAGGCACTCTCCAGGGTGATGCTTACTGTCCAGAGGAAGTTGCAGACTAAGATCATGGATGATCTAGATCCGGGCTCCTCAACTTTGGAGGCCACAGTGACACTCACAGCACATGCCGACGGCCGCAACTTAAGTGTGGTTGCATGTACATGCAAATATCTATGCGAATAGCTTCTTTCACACTGACGGGCATGAATGCAAAGATTAAGGCAAGACTACACAACACACAGGCCCCATGTAAGTCAGTTCTGCCGACAGTAATAAAATGCAACATTTACCCCATTTCCACCCATATGACAGCACTTGTAATGAGCAATGACAGTCCAGGAACTTAACTACTAACACACATCTCAACACAAGACCACTATATTGACTACTTTTTTGGTTTGGCTCCCACCTACGTGTTGAGCCCCACACAAACCCAAACTATGCCACAGGCAACGGACCACATGCAGCCCACGGGCCACACGTTGAGTAGCTCTGATCTAGACAATGCTTGGTCCTGCCATGAGGGCAGGGGACTGGACTCGATGACCTCTCAAGGTCCCTTCCAGTTCTAGTGTTCTAGGATTCTATGAATATCTATGGGAATGAAAACATTAACATTGTAAATCTGTAACTTTTGGTAATGTAAAATAAAGGAAACGTTTGAAATAAAATGAATTGGCTTGGGAGCAAAAATATTGTGATCTCACTTAGTATTTGTGCTTTCACTTTGAGAGAGTTCGATAGCCAATGCATAGATGGTGCCATCATTGAAACTGGATTTGAGTTCCCTAATGGAGTAACCATGTCATATATACTACTTTTCAGAAGGCAACATGTTCACACTACCATATGTAAAGAATGTGGTTTTTATATTTAAACAGTCCTAGTTGTTTTTTACTGAGTTGGCAGCAACCACTTCCATGATCTCCTGCTTCCAATGCTTCAGAGGATTTGCAGCCAATCAAGTACCAGAGGGTTTCTAGATACTATTGGGAAGTCACTAAAAAACTAGGTGATGCCTTAACTTATCGTTTTCTAGGAGTTTCTCTTACTAATCTTGTGAGCAAAATACAACATGAAAGCTGCCTGGAAGAAACCTTCTTGTTCACACTGAAATGCTTGTCTGAAATCTTGCCTTTT